ACAACTATCCAGGTTATCAGGTTTACCAATAATTTATTGGTAACAGAAGTAGCTGAGTCCAGTAATTCATACCAGACTTTGCTTTTGTCACCAAAGTATCCCCATTTCTAATAATTGTTTTGCATCCTCCTCTCTGTGCTATCATTCAACTCAAAAACCATAAAAACCTTGTCAGAACTTGAGTAATTCTGTGCATCTCTGCAAGCAAAGCACCAAGGAAGAGCAGCAGCACCTTATCAGACTATTCAGGTCACTTTATCTTCCTTGTGAAACTGCCCACAGGAAACACATATCATGGTGTAAATTACACAACTCATCGTTAGTGTGAACATTCAAATACCAGTCGCACTAAAGCTGTAGAGCATGCTACACTACAAATACACTACTTAGTCCATCAGCTAACCTATGACACAGGTTTGATACAAAGATATTTCCAAGGGTAAGTATCAGTTTTCTCAATCAGTGCTCAAAAACATACAAGAAAGCAATACACTTCAGTTTTAGATGTAGGGTAGAACCCAGACTGGCCTTGGCAGTAAGGTAAAGTTTTTACCTTCTTAGAACTTTGACTACTTATTTGGGCTGTTATTCAAATGCTATCAAAATACAATGGTAAGCTTCTGACATTAAAGAGCAGAAAGATTTGAATAATCTTTCATTAGCATCACAAGAAAGCAATTTGTAAATGAACCAGTTCAGTATACAGACTGTAGCTGCAGAGTGCATACAGGTCATCAGCATCTAACACACTTCCCAGCTCAATTAGAAACTGTAGTAACTGTTGTCAACATGCAGGGTCTAGACCCTGCAATAAAAGCTTATTAGCAACGGAAGTGCATAAGATTGACTAACAACTTACTGCAAAAAAGGTCAAACTCAACAGCTGTACTTAGAAGCAGCCTCCACCTAAGAACACCAAAAACACAGGCTGAAACATACTGTCTGGCTTGAAACGTTCTGCATTTCTAAAGCTTCATAGCCAAAATTAACTGATATAATGGAGCAGCTTCTGTTTGGCTTCTCAGCCACCACAGAAAATGCACCTCCTTCCGTGTCTACTGGAAGAGCTCAATAAGCTGCCTACACTGCCAGCTCAAAAGCAGCTGCACAGCCTCATGGCCCAGCAACCAGTTTGAGCCACCACTGACTACCAGAGCTAGGCTTACAGACAAGCAATGAGCCACTCTAACCAACGAAGCATTCTAACCAACCATCTCACTTGGAGCCAGCACCAACGCCAAGTCAAAGGGCTAAAAAATATTGCTGAAGCCACATTGTACAAACAACTAACTGGAAGCAAATTGTGCTACTGGGAACTGCTTCCAGCCAAGGAAAACAGGAACAAATATGCCTGGCACAGCTAGTCACAGGACAGAGCATAGAGAGCACATGCAGGATGAACAACCTTCCCACCGAACCCTCCAGCCACTGTTGCAGCACTACCAACACCAGGTAAGCACCTCTGTTGCTGGATTTCCAAAACAGAGTTGAAAAGCCAGAAAAGAGGTTACTTGGAGTGGTTTCCCTTGTGGTTTCACTCTATTCAGTGAGTAGGGTGGAGGCTTCAGACGCTGTCTTCAAGTATGTCAGTGCAGGGTGCATTTTGTTTCTCCATCCTAGGAGCAAATTTGCACAGTACTACTTTAACTCCATCTGTATGGTGGTTCTCAATGCGCACCTTTATAGCAGCTTCCAGTAATACCTTGTTTTCCAAAAACAACACGTTATACAAACTCCTGCGGAGCTTGAAGAGAAAGGGATGAAAGGGCCTCCACTACTACAATGTGCAAATGAAGGCAAACACGTTTGCAATTCAAATCCACCCACTGTACAGACACCTGTACTTCACTCAAAGTCATTTCCAGAAATAAACACGTAAATTAACTGGGTCAAACTCTGATCAATTTAACACAGTTACAGAGTAACTCTGGACCAGGAATTGCCTGCAATCCAGGGAGTTATTTCTGATTTACATCAGTAGCTCCCAAAATATGCAGAGCAGTTATGTTCAGATCTGACCTAACCACTTTTTTCCCTGACATTTTTCTCCCTTCTTAATGAATCCTGAATGCTTCAGTATGACTACGGAAGCAGAGATACAAGTTGAGGGTTATTTCAGGGTCTGGGAAGTGTGCAGAGCCTATTCTCTTCAACCAGTAAAATTCATAAACAAGTGTTAACTACTTTCCCCTAACTATAAAAGGGCAGCTATAACACTCTTCTGCTCACTGGTGCACAGGCTGCATTGCATCGCATTTCTAGTAGCTTAAGTCTATTTTACCACTGTCACCTTAACAATGCCCCTTTGCAGGTGTGCCTATGACTGAAAAACAGAGTCCTCTCACCTCACTGCCAGACACAGGTAAGGCTGAGAAAATATGGGAGGAAGGTGGAGCAGGACACCATGCAATGAGTCAGGCTTCTGTGAAATTGCCAAACTGAAGGGGGAAGTTCAGCTGACAGCTGTTTGAAATTGCAGATGAATTAATTGTACCCAAAGCAAGTGGAAAAATACTGCTCCTTGTTGGGTAAGTACCTGTTTGAGCACCACTCTTGCTGCACCGTTAGGTTCTCCTTCAGCTACAAACTTCCGCAAAAAGTTTACTCAAAGCTCAGCTCGCTCCAGGGTACTTCCAGGTAGAGGTAAACCCATTTCACCTGCTGTTGTAACTAATTTCCACTAATTGCTTTCAACCCAGAGCAATCCAAACGGGACCAAAAAAAAGTCATTACAGTAATTACTTTTCACAAAGCTGCCATCACAAGTAGGTACCCCCCTTGGTAAAAGTGAAGAGCACCTGAGGTGCACCTTGGGAGTGCAGTTCCAGCTGTAAAGAATGTGCAGCCTTTGCTTTTTGCTTCAAACATGGGTAATGAAGTTACCTATTGACATGACTCAGGACCAATCCACATAATGTGATCATGAAACAACATTCCAATACTCTGAACCAGCAAGACTCCTGTATTGATTTTGTGCAATCCTAATGTATAACAATTCATGCACAGTAATATACTTCTGGTTGAATATAATTTAGATAAATAAAAGTGGATGTTACACTGAGACATAGCAAAGATTTGAAATTGGACATTTCTGTGCATCAGCATAAGAAACCAAGAGCCATGTAAAGAGACTGCTATAGATAGCAAACTTTTAGTTCCACAGACAATGTTGCCAACAAGTGTTCTTTATGGAGAGGTTCTTTGTTACAGTCAGAATGTCTCACTATGCTGTATACTGCTTACTACCTAGCGATGTAAAAAGAAAAAAACAAACCTAAACCCAAAACTACAGTGCTTTGGCCATTACTTTAATTTGTCTAATTTTCCTCCAAGTTTTTTTTTTAATAAGAAACTGTCTGAAAAGCTTTTCTACTAAAGCTTTTCTACCCAATTTTGCATTAGTGCAATCAGTCTCTTCCTTCTGCCTTTTGGGTTTTTTTCAAGCCAGAAGGGATGTCTCCCTGCTCTTCCTTAATACCAATACAAAACAAGTAAATCTCATTTCTGTGTGTACATGCATGCAAGTCTCACAGGAAAGAAGGCACATGCAATACTATGGACTACAAACCATTTTGGTTTACTTGTTCCTTTAAAACTATGTTTAAAAAGAAAGAGAATAAACTTTCTCTCTCAAACCATGCTATGTAATAAAACAGTTTTAGCATGTAGGTTCCATTTAGTTTTCATGAACAAAGCTTATATAGCAAACATACCACAGAAGCCTCTATCACTGTCATAGGCAGACATTTTTCTCACCAATAAAAGCTTTGTCACATGATATGCAAATTTCTCACCTGTAAGCTGGATTTTTTTAAACAAAATTTTGTGATTATAGTATATGAAAACACATTCATATAGTTAACTTCTCTGTATCTACCTAATCTACAAGATAAATTTTACTAACCTGTGCCCAAACCCTATCATTAACACCAAAACAAGGATACAAATACCCTCAACTAATAGGAACTAATGCAAAAGCTTCATGTCGCATAAGAATTTTTCTTCCTTAAGGATATCTCACTTCAACAAAAATAAAGGAAATTTACATAAGGAAATACCAAAATTTAAAGTGTATGCAATTATTTTGTACATTGTTAATTCAACTTGGTTTAGTGACACCAGTAAATACTAGGGATTATAAATTATTTGAAATATCTTATGAAATAGCATTCAAACTGCACTTGAACAAAACTTCGAAAAATTGATAGAAATCAATCCCAAATCCAGGAAAGATTACATAGATAGCATGTCCCTCCTGAAATGACTGTATTTAGCACTTCTGAAAACCCAGAAAACACTCAACAGAGTAAGTCATCCTGGTTTTGAAATAAATTTCTCCTAAACCTTTTTCATCACTTGCTAGAACATCTAACTTGTAAAGGGTACATGGCACTGTACTTCATCTTCTGAACACTAAAAAATCAGTATGACCTTGATTTCCCTATCAGCATAACTGTATTGCTACAATTTCTATACCATCAACTTGAGAGTGATACAAGCTGAGGTGGCAAAGCTGTGTTGTCACAGACTAGAGTCCTGGATAGAATTTTATAATGTAAATATAAGGCAATGTTGTAGCATAAATTTTTATATTATACTTTAAATGGCAGGACTTGAATTTTCATAAATTTTTAAAACCCCTCAACATAATATCAAGTATTATTTTCAGAAACTAATAAGCAACTAATCAAATGTGAATGTCAGATCCACAAATCACTTCAAATTCAAATTGACAACTCCTTTAACTGAAAGTATTAAAATTACTTTCCCTCTATAAATGCTAAGTCTCACATCTTCAGATGAAGTATGACCTTTCCAACTCACTCTCTACCTTCCTTTCCAATGACAACATGAAGACCAGAAAATTTTCAAGTTTCATACGTTATACTTACTCTAACGTGATTTTGTTAAAACTGAAACACAAAACTGGTTCAAAATAGCTAGTTAAGGGTTTAATTTTGAAATTTTATTGGAGAAAAATCCAACATGCTTATTCTTACCTTGGTAGAAAGACACTTTCCACTACATAGAAGTCTTGCATAAGAACATCTCTGTCTGGCTTTGATGTAAGATTTCCTACTGTGTATCCTATTCCCAACTGGATAGCACCTTTAATAGCCGAGGATGCAGTCTGTGTAAAAAGTAAGAATTCAAGCATGAGTTCGCTAAAAGCAGATTTCTGTTCTTTATCGATAATATTATAGCTAAACACTTTGAGTCTTTTCATAATTACAACACCCTGTCATCTTCACAACCTAGACCTCAGTGATTTTGAATTAAAATATTTAAAAGAATCACTGTATACAAAGTGAAACTTTTCAAATTACCCAAATAATTTAGACATGGAGTTCTAACTCAGCACAGAATTACAGAATAGCAGGTTGGAAGGGACCTCAAAAGGTTCAACCATTATCCCATTATGTTCAACCTTTCTTGACAAAAGCATGATCTAGACAAGACAGCCAAGCACCCAGTCAAGCCAAATCTCAAAAATGGGAATCCGCCAGTTCTGGGGAGTTTATTCCACTGGCTGATTGTTTTCACTGTGAAATATTTCCACTTGTGTTCAAGTTGAAAATTCCCAGGAGTAACTTTAACCCATTATCCCTCATATTTTCCATGTGACCCCTTGTAAAAATAGGGCCTCTGTCTTTGTAACCACCCTTCAGATACTGTAACATGGTGATAAATTTCCCCTCAACCATCATTTCTCAAGGCTGAGCAAATCCAACTCTCTCAGCCTCTCCGAACATATCAGGCTTCTCAGCCCTTTGATCATCTCTGTGGCCCTTCTCTCCACCCTCTCAAGCCTGTCCGTATCTTTTTTGTATAGCAGAGACCAAAACAGACAACAGTATTCCAGGTGTGGCCTGACAAACACTGACAGGAATGGGATAATCTCTGCTGCTGATGGCCCTGTTGATGCAGCCCAAGATCTCACTGATCTCCTTTGCTCCAGCAGCACACTCCTCACTCATATTGAGTTTTTTGCTCCCTGGGACTCCCTGGTTCCCTTCCCCAGACCTGTTCCTCAGCCTTGTGCTCCCAGCCTGTGCTGCCCTCCTGGATTACACCTGTCCTTGCTAAACTTCAAAAGGCTTTTCTTTGCCCACTCTTCCAGCCTACACAGGTTTTCCTCCAGCATGGCTCTCCCTTCCAAAGTGCTCACTTGATCCCTGAGTGATTTTGAGTGCTCTGCATGACCATATATGAAGACACAAAACAGCGCTGGGCCCAATACCAGTTCCTGGGGGACTCCACCTGTGCCAGTTGGAAAAGGAGCCATTTACCCCCACTCTGGGTGCTGCCTGTGGGTCCGTTCCCCACCCACTGCACGGGCAGCTTGTCCAGACTGTTACACAACAGCTGGACAGGAAGATGACCAGCAGAGTTGTTACACAACTTCACCAGGAAGCTGTGGGAGACCACAGAGAAAGCCTTGGAGAAACACAGGCAGACAACATCCGCAGCTTGCCCCCCTCAACCAAGCAGGTTACTTTGCCCTAGAAGGCAATCAGGTTTGTCAAGCACAATTTGGCCTTGGTGAACCTGTGCTGGCATTTCCTAATCATATGCTTCATCTGACTCGTGATGGCTCCTAGGAGGATTCTTTCCATAATCCTTTCCTTTGCTTTAGTATTAACCTTCAGAGTGCACAGCCAGACGCCAAACTCCACAATATTGTGATCACTATAGCCAAAGCCATCACTAAGTGAGATATTACAAAGCTGGTTTCCTTGGTTAGTGAGCAGCCAGTCCAGCCATGCCTCATTCCTGGTTAGCACATCTAACATCTGCACGAGGAAGCAGTCCTGTATGTATTCCAGGAACTTGATGGATGTTGTGACCTGCTGTATTGCTCTACCAAGAATGTCTGGATAGTTGAAGTCACTGAAAAGACCCATGATCTGTTATCCAAAAGTTGCTAAGTGACCCTGATTAAGTGCTTCTTTGCCCTTTTTGTCTTGGTTTGGAGATCAGTAGCAGATGCCTAATCTAAGATCGCCCTTGGGGATGTCCCTTCTGATCTTGATCCAGCAGCGTTTGATAGGGCTTCCATAGTCACTGTAGTTGACCTCTCTATGTTTATGATTCACTTTTAACCCAGAGCACAACTCCTCCTCCTCTGCTTTCCTACCTGTCTTGACAAAACCCATAACCATCCTTTGTGATCCTCTTAAAACAGTTGCAATCTAACAGGATATTCAAATTGCTTCAGGATTGTGAAGCACGCATTATATTCTGGAAAAAACCAGTCACAAATTCCAGGTGATTGTACATGCATGACAAGGCATCACAATGCAAGTTTAAGCCATAAATGCTGATTCTACATGCAAATAAATGTATTTATTAGCTTCTGCCTAACGGTCCGTGCAAGAGATCCACTGACTGTAGGGAGTCTAGAGAAAAATAAATGGGGAAAGCAAAATCTCTCTGTAAAAATCTACCCTTATAAAGTGCAATGACTGAATTCAAAGGCCAGAGCTTCCAGGACAGAGAAGGCTTCAAAACAACAGCATGAAATTGTGATACTATATATGTGTAAATTGAAACCATATCTGAAACTTTCCTGCGCTGAATAGACAGTCACGCTACATGAATTTAAAAAAACAAAACAAAACAGCAAGTCAAAATCAGAAAGTAGTCAAGAAAGGAATTTGTAATGAAACATGGAAGGAGTGAATAAAGAAAACCATTGGGCAGGGAAAGAATGCCACGAGGAAGGGAGTATCTTCCCTTGCATGATCACCAGTTTAAAGACAACATGCTTGGTCCCTGTTTTTAGTTTTTACCTCGTACCTACTAAACAAGAAAGACACTAACAGAGAACACCAGAAGTTTCATGATCAGAACCACTTCAGCACTTGAACAGAACCATTTCAGGAGTGGAAATTACATAACAAGTGGTTGAAGTACACAAAGCTAATCTTGTTCTAGTTCTTGGAACAGAGTGGCTGCTTATTTTTAGAAAAGATAGAGATGTGTAGCTCTTAAATAATTAAGACTGCACACCAAGCAGAACTTATACTTGCATAACAGTTTAGTACCAGCGATTTGGTGGGAACAAACAACAGCCCATTCTGAAAGTACTGCTTTGACTAGTAAAAAGATTTGGCTTTGTGTCATAAGAAGAGTCACATTTTTCTTTCATTGAAAGGCTTCTATTCATGAATGATTAATGCCTAACAAAAGCTGTAATTATGTAACTTTGATCAAACCAATACACATACAAATAGTTTCTGCTTCATTGCTGGAAGCCCATCTTGTTCACTGCCACAGCAAGAAACTATGTCTGAAAGAACAGCAGATAGTACAACAGAGGACATGCCATTCCAAATAAACCCTGACAAAACCCACCAAACTTCAAAAACACTCAAGACAAGTAACCTGGCAATGTGACTTCAAAAAGAAATGTCTGGATCATTATCAGTTTCTTGAGGTCTGGATTGAAGGCACTTGAGACAGTAGTTCATGTTCAGACTCAGGTGTTTATTATTTCTTATCAGTGAAACAGCCTCACAACCATGAGTTCGGCAGCCTTTCATTAGAAGGCACTAAATGCCTATGTCTTGTTAAAGGTCTTTTAAGACTAAACTATCCAATTAAGAAAGGACACCTAGATTATTTTCCCTTTTAACCTAATAACTGATCCCTTGAAGCCTGCAATGTCGACTTTTCTGTCCAGTTACAAAACATCACCCAAATTCATGAAGAAGGAAGAAGGTAAAAAGGAACAACCTGCCTCCGACCTAAAACCTCCATCTTGCTTGATATTTTTTTCTATGTTCTAAAGCCACAAACTCTAAGTTTTCCACCCTGTGACATTACACACTTCTAACCAACTACACACCTGTAATCCCAGTGTTATCAATCAATTTTTGAAGTCTTCTCCACAGCCTCAGGTCAGTTGCAGTGTTCTCTTGTGGGTCTGTGCCTTTAAGCACAGAAATTTTAAAATTCTCAGCATCCAGGCTTCCCACGGATCACCTTTCAAGCTCATAAAAATATTTGTAGTATTTTTTTTTTCAAATTCGAAAGACCCAGAGACTTTTAGTCTCTGTAAGGCAGAATGTAAGACCTTCTAATACAATGACACTGACCTTTCCTAAAAGGTTACCTTCTTGTTAATTTCCACTCACAGTCAAGAACATCATTAGTAACCACTCATCATTTCTGCAGCAACCACAGAAGTTGGTTTAGCAGAAAAGTAATGTTATGAATTCATAACTGCTTTAAATGCTTTAAAAATGGTTTTGAAACAAATTGAGAGCTGCTACAGTATGCTCAAGGCAACTGCTGGCCCAAAGTCCACTTTTTGTCAATCACCACTAGGACCAAATGCGGGTAACTCAGTATGCCCTTAGGAACTGACAAGTATTTGTTTTCACAGTCCATAAAATAAAAACAGAACAAGCCTTGGAATTTGTCTTTTAAACAGCACTTTTCTTAATTTTTTATATTACTATTATTAATAATTTTATTATCACCATTAAATCCAAGGAAAATATAAAGAAGTTCCTTCTTAAGCCTTAGGGGAAATGTCCTTGAAACATTCATTTTATTACTACAAAAATGTATTTATGGGAAACTGCAAATGCAACTGGAAAAACGGAAGTCTCTTGTGAATTCTTCCTTACTTGGACATCTCTTTTAATTCCCATTAAAAGGCATTAAGGCAGTAAAAGGCAGCAAAATCTAGTTTCAAAACCTAAGCCCCTTATTTATTAAAATTTGTCTTGAATACTCTCCTGCTGCAAAGCAAACAATAAAATTCAGCCTTCTGCACCATGGGTTTTTTCAGTCTTTTAGAGACTCAAATGAATTTTCCTTCCTATTAGTCTCATGAAGAGGTTCAGAAAATGGCCCTGAGATTATTTATTAACTGTAACTGTAAAGCTGACAGTGCACAGTGACAGTACGATGAGTTCCAGATAATTTAACCTGTTATCAACCTTCTGAAGACCAAGAAATATTAAGGGATGACAATAACCAGCAGGATAAAAATGTTGATGAATTTTAGGTTATGAAATTGAATTTGTAGCAAATGCTGTACACTATGATAGCTGTCTTTGTTACATAAAGGGGAACAAAGCAAAACTTCTCCTATCCTCCTTCTGCTTTTTGGGATAT